CACAGCTGTATAAAAGAATCCAGCTGAAGGTCGACAAACGAGAGATGCGAAATGAGCGGCGCATTAAAGTAATTAGCTGCCAACCGGGGTGTACAATTAACGAGAGCTGTCGCTTGCAGCCAACTTCTCGGGGCAGCGGTGAAATCTTGTCAGCTATCGTTTAATGAAAAGCTTGACGAGGTGCCGAAAGACGAAGCTCGCGGAAATTTGCATCTTGCATCTTCTGGGTCGAGATTTACATCCCCAAGGCACATATGACCCTCAAGGGAGGAGACTCGTTTGATCTTCCCTTTTGGAAGAACCAAGCAAGACATGTCCATTTGCACCCTGATACGACTCGTACAAATTTAATTTCAAGTAATGGGAGTACAATTGAAAGCCGATCGACGATTCTAGCGGGACGGACAATTGCGAAAAACGTGAGCCATGCCTAATTAATCGCGACTCCATCGAATCACGGCTGCCTGAAAATTGGGGCAGATTCGATCGACTCCCCGCAATTTCGCGCCTGAAATTCACTATTCGTCAAATCTGCGGATTTCGGGTTTAATTGAACTTTTTCCATTTTCTAGTCCGTTTTCTAGCCCCCGCGAGGCCGCCAACGCACGACCAGGAATTCACCACTAAATGGAAGTAATGGAAATTCTGCTCTGTGAACCAGGGTTTTGCCAAAATCTCGACTTTGGAAATATTGATCGAGATAATTATTTAATATTCTGATAATGTTTTATACTTTAATTCTATACACCGTAACGTGGTGGGTTCAATGCCCCTTCACATTGGGGGATGGGCCTGGACCCTGCACCCCATTCTGAAAATATTTAAGACAAAAGAGCTCTTCCGAACGGAGCTTTGAGAAACCGGTAGCAATATGGAAGACCCGACCGCGATAAGTAGCACTGTTTAGACCGGGATCTTGCGACCTCGAGTATTCGATTCAGTGTTAGGTGTAAATTCCGACCGAGTGAAGAAAATGAAATGCCCGCTGGCACGATGTTTCGAGTATATAGAGTGGTAGTGGCCATGAACTTGTCTGAGCCTCTACCGCGTCTCTTGATAATTTAGGACCTCTCGATGGCGTAACACAGAAAGGGTGCCTAAATTGTGACGAAGACCACGTCGGAACGTTGAGGTAATTTTGCATACAAAATTGCTATTTATTTGTAGGTTTAATTATTCTTTCTATTCACAGATTTGGATTCAAAAGCTTCGAGAAAACCTGTTTCTACAAAAATCCAACCATTTTAAAGCTGGGGTGAGCGCTGTAGTTCGTGTTCGTCCCGCGAGAGGCGGTGTTAAAAATCGGAGAATCCGTACGCTGCGTGCCCATCATGTCTGTGCAAAAATGGTAATCCGTAGTTTGGTCGACAACGATAACACAACGATTCTGAGCGTACGTAAAAATTAAAATTGATATTAAGATTGATATATCTTCGTGTATCATCGATCAGGATCGGGTAAATTTTAACAAATTATTGCATTTTTTGCTTGATGTTTTAGCTATTTAAGATTTTATTCCCTTTTCCATAACATTTGAGAAATATTTCTATTTCTCCCACTCGTGAAAATTGGATCCTTGGGGTATAAGACACTCGGTTGTGTCTCGCTTTATTTCAAGTACGTGGAGCACGTTTCTCTCATCACTCGACCCTACGCCTTTCCCGCACAAATAAATGTATTTGGCTCGAAACTCTACCGTATTTCTTGATGGAAATAAAAATCGACAACATGTAGGTATATTGTTTCCAAAATATAAAGTGCGTGCGTGTATTACATGTTTCAGTAAATATTTCGCCGATCATCTGTCGTACATACGAGTATGGTAATCAATTGTTATGTATAACAAATTTCTCCTAACTGATATGTCTTTGGTATGATTCTATAATAAATTATTCTTTCTTTTAATACCGGAATTGTATAAACATGAAACTCATTGGACGGAGAATTCAGTGGAAAAGAATGGAAGTATTTAAATAATTAACCAGCGGAGTACCATCTTTTCCGGAATTAAAGAAGTTTCATTTCCCGACCGCAACATTAATTTTCCAAGGAATTTCCTCGACTCGAGGTGTTCATATTAGGATAATATTTTCCCACGGATGAATTTCACGATTGCACGGTGTTACGAGAAGAGCTGAGGAAGTATCGCGAAGTTCCATCGCGCCCTGAGAACTTCTTGACTTTGTGTGGATTCCTGAAGAATCCACATTTGAGAAAGTTCCCTGCCACGGAAGTTTAAACTAGAGATACGACTGAATCGAATGAATATTTATACACCAGAATTTCTACCGGAAGGAAGAGTTATGTTAAATGCAATGGAAATTGTGGGGCGATCATTTTCCGTTTGTTAAATACCAACGACAATGGCATAGAATTTACTTGAACTTCGCTCGAAATCCTTAATTTACATCGATATTCCTTCCAAGTCTACCTTAAAGTCAAAATACAATTTTACTCGAGAATAAAAATCAAGCTAGTTTTATCGAAGAAACAAACATTTAACCCTAGACATTCTGCTTTTAAGGAAAAAGCCACTTCTAGAATCAAGTATTCATATTTTCAAACTTAATGAAGATTCAATTCGTACTTTATTAGTAAATTATTTTAAGCCACAGGAGTCTTGGTGATCACAATTATTGCAGGGATTAATATCTCCACAGTAAAAACCGAAGAAAGGACGATTTTTTCTTTATTCCTCTCAATCTCTCAGTGAAGCAAGATCCTCTTAAACCTGAAGTGCTTGAGCAATAGAGGGGGCCTGGAATTGGCATGTAGGGTCATTGAAAAGCCACTTCCAGAATCAAGTATTCATATTTTCAAACTTAATGAAGATTCAATTCGTACTTTATTAGTAAATTATTTTAAGCTACAGGAGTCTTGGTGATCACAATTATTGCAGGGATTAATATCTCCACAGTAAAAATCGAAGAAAGGACGATTTTTTCTCTATTCCTCTCAATCCCTCAGTGAAGCAAGATCCTCTTAAACCTGAAGTGCTTGAGCAATACAGGAGGCCTGGAACTGGCATGTAGGGCCATTGAATTAGAATCCTCTTCAGCCTCTCATGGACCAGGCTGCAATGACAGAAATCTTTTATACAGGCTGACAGAACCGTTTCAAAATTGGAATTCGCATTCAAAATCAAGTAAAATAATTTACATTCAACTATCATACATAATACAAATGTTTGCATTGAGATGTAAACTAATGGCAATGATGAGACTACTTTTACGTCTACTTTTATGTCGCCAAGAGGCTCTAAGAAATTATCCTCGTTGATTGATTATTTTTTAATAGCTCATAAACAGGCCTAATGGAGGAAAGAATAAAAAAAACGAGGAAAAAGCTGCAAGAAACCCCGGGACCACCCCTTACGAAGAGGACGTTCCTCCCCCTGTAATTTGGTGAGGACTTTGTTTACTCCACTTATGTCCCCGGTCCTTCGTCTTTACTCATCACCCCTCACCCTGAAGGGCACTCGGAAAGACACCGATCAAATTTGTCTTCATCGTCACTGTCGCGACAAGAACCACAAAGCGGGCAAACATGCGCCATCCCTGAGGAAGAAAAAAAGAAGAGAAGAAGAAAAAGGAACCGCATTAACTTCCAAGGGAAATTAGATTTAATCCCGAGACGTCTGGTGTCACTTTCAAGACTTACAGCAAAAATCATATAACGAAAATCCGCGAGAAGAATTACTATTGGACTTCTCATCTCAGATTGTATTATCGAGTTCCATGCCGATTTGGGATGTTGGTCATTACAAACGTTCAAGACAATTCAACATTTGTTCAACATTTAAGACAATCGGTTCATCTATCTTTTAAAAGAGTGTATTCGCTCAATGAACCATTTAAGCTCTCCTTTTAAACCACATTAAACAGCGAGAGTCCTAATTTTTCTGCACATTCTATTTGTTTAACCGCGATAAAATAAGAATTATAACGTTTACCTGCTTTGCGTCTGCTTCCCCTAGCTAGGCGAGGACAGAGAGAGAAACGCGAGGATATGGCGAACAAGGAAAGGACGAGAAAGAGGGAGATGTGCGCGATGGAGGGAAAGAAAGTTTGGCGGTCGAGAGGGACGCGACGCAGGCGCGAGAAGCGGCGAAGCCGGCGTCCCCGTCGTTCCCGCGCCCAGAGCGTCGCGACGCGCTCCTCCAGCCACTCGATGTCCGCACGCGACGCAGTGATAACGTTCCGCATCTTCGGCCGAGGTCCGATAGACGACTCCTCGTTCGGAAGACACACAGGTCCCTTCATAGCGAACATCCATCCCGATCTCATCGCCATCCGTTCATGGAATTCGACTCCATGATCCAGCCACCAATCCTACCTCATCGAAAACTTAGATCCAAAGAACCGCAAAGGAGACGCTGGACAGTGGCATTATGCATGAATGAAGAAACGTAAAAGAAGACAAAAGTGCCGCGAAGTGGCGAGCTAGGAAACCCCAAAGAACCCGGATGAGTCAGTCGTTCGGATCTGGACATTACACGGTGGCTGGTCCTCCGGTACATGTGGTCCCGCTTGGTCCTAATTGTCCTGGACCGAAGATCCCACTCGTTGGTACTTTGGATGAGAGAATCGACGGCCCCGACTCGGATTCTTAGAAATGGTCCTTCGGGAGAGGAACTTTGATCACTCCTCCGCAAAGTCGTTGGACGTGATCACTGAAATTGGAGGGTACTCATTGGACAGATTCTTTTCCCGGGGCTTGCTGGAGTAGAAAACCTGGAATGAGTCGCTGTTGCCGCAAGAAGCTGCTGGAGTTTTACGACGGGGAAAATCCGGCAGAGGTTTGAACCTATCGGCCAACTCGGTGCCTGGAACTTGGGCAGGGTCATGGCTAGGTGCGGTGCTTGCAGCCGGGGTCAGGATCCCACGAGGGACTACTAGGTCTCCAAGGAACTGCAAGTCGGACGGAAAAGTATCCGCGATGACGGGTCCGGATTGTTGAGGGATCCACGGTCTCCAGGCAGGACCTGGGTAACGGCAGACATGAACATCGGCAACGGATCCGAGCCGGAGGACGGTCTTTCGGAGGAGATGTACCAATGCGGTGCAGGGATCGACTCTTTCCACACGGTCTACGTGCAGATGCACGGCTGGGCCAGTCTGATGGTCTGCATTTTCGGCTCCATCGCCAACACGCTCAACATTGCAGTGTTGACCCGCCGAGAGATGAGTTCCCCAACGAACGCCATCTTGACCGGGCTGGCCGTGGCCGACTTGTTGGTTATGCTGGAGTACATACCCTACGCCAGCCACATGTACCTCTACCATCGGCCCCGGAAAGACACCTTCACCTACGGTTGGACCCTTTTCGTACTTTTCCACTCCAACTTCGGCCAGGTCTGCCATACGATCTCCATCTGGCTGACGGTTACTCTAGCTGTCTGGCGCTACATCGCCGTGGCTCATCCCCAGAAAAACAGAGAATGGTGCAGCTTCCGTCGCACCGTCATGGCCATTGCCGGGGCATATGTCATCTGCCCCATCATCTGCGTGCCTCTCTATCTCACGACCAGGGTCACACCCAGGATGGAGCTCCTAGACACCGAGGGTAATGCCATTAACCTCACCCTTTTCAATGGCACTGCCCCCGATAGTGCAACCAACACCACGCTTTACTTCGTCAACCTCACCGAGGTCGCCAAAGCCAATGGTTTCTTGAACGACACCAACTTCTGGATGTACAGTGTCGTTATCAAAATCATACCGTGCATTGCCCTCACGATCCTTAGTCTTAGGCTCATCCTCGCACTGGTGGAGGCCAAAAAGAGGAGGCAGAAACTTATATCTGCTACTGTGGTAAAGACTGACGATGTCACGATTGACGCAAGCGAGATCAAGCGGAGCAGGAAAAAATCTGGCAGGCTTATCGATAAGGAGCGCCAGACTGACAGGACCACTAGGATGCTCCTGGCTGTCCTCCTGCTGTTCCTGATCACCGAGTTCCCCCAGGGGGTCCTTGGACTCCTCAGCGTCATGCTGGGATCCGGCTTCTTTCAAACGTGCTACACCAAGCTCGGTATGTTTTTGTTTGGCATTAAATTAAGGTGTATGCGACATCCGTATTACCATCCCGAGACGTTCTTATAGGTATCATCTACGTATCTGGCAGAATTAATTTACCCTTCTATTTGCGTCTATAAACGTTTTCTCTAATGTTGAACCAATGTAAACATTCATTTATTCTTATTTACTTTTAATCATGTAAACGATATATACATGTTTTTTTAGTAAAACACTCATGGATACTTATTTTTTCGCAAGTTGCATATTTCGACCGTTTCGAAGTATCCTTTATAAAAATGGAACTTCAAAAGTAACACTTTGTTTCTTATAAAAGTTCCAACTTCGTACGTAATCTTTATTCCTTATCTGTCCTTGGTCAAGTTTGATATTTCTTAATTTATTAATGGCAAGCAAGATTCAATTTTAAATAGAAAATAAATACAAGGATGTAATTAGCGTGTTGTTAACCATTTCGATACTTGCATGATAGTTAAATAATAAATTGTCACGAAATAAAACCTGTAGAAATGTGTGAGTGACATTTAACACAGCGGAAAACGAGTTATCGTTATTAAGAATCATTAATTTCCCGGAGGGTCAATCGAAAAAAGTTAAAGAAATCTCAAACAAAATGTTTAAATTAAATTGGACATATGTCACTTTTAGCAACAAAACGCGCACTCGAACGATTTGCCTCATTTAAAAAATGTAAGAAATATTTCTTTGTAATGTTTTCCCCCTTTTATCAATAGTTGTAAAAGAAATGATTGTTTTTTTCGTTATTCCTCAGGAATTAAACTAAAGATATGACGCGAGGACAATGAGATGCTAACTCGTAAGAAAACTGATAATCAATAAAGTAGGAGTGTTCCCTATACCTGATCACACTAAAACACGTAATAACGTTTATAGAGAAAGTAGTATTAGTGTACGATGTTTACAAGATCAATAAATAGTATACAACCCAATTAAATTGCAATTTTGTTGTTCTATAAAACGAGGCATATTAATTATCGGGGAGATGGGCTTTCTTGTTTTACCGTATTTTAATTAGGCGTCTATTTGTTGGATGCAACATTTCTTTTGAATCGAACTCGATGCAAAAGAAACAAATTTCCTTCGAGTCGTTCCTCAAAGCGTATCTGCAATTAATTAACAAGTAATCGAGAACTCGGTCAGACCTGTGAAATCCATATTTTAAATATTGCCTTCTCATAATTTCGAAATGGACGTAACAGGCAAAATGAATATAAAAGATGTCGTTGATGAAATATTCCATCCCCAAAATTACGAATACATACACCCAAGTCGTAAAAAGCAGCAAGTAATAAAGATGAAATTACGGTGACAAGCTGTTTGTGTCGACTGTGTAGCAACATTTTTATGGAATCAACATATCACTCTCCCGAGTGTAAGCTGAGAAGTTCTAAAATGGAATACACGAATTCAATGCTCAGAATCACATAAAGGTCTCGTATTCTCAGATAAAAATAGGAATGACAACAATCGATCCCTTTGTAACCTACGTAGATAAATATTTCGTGGTGGTTGAAACAAGAAAATGATCCTTTTTAAAAATGGATGGCGTTTTTATAAAACCTTAAAAAATCGGTTTCGTTTCATTAGCGTTACTGAAAGCATTTTATAAAATCTGTATTGTGTACTTTTTCATAAGTACTGCATATTTTATAGTTACCAGCTAATATCAGCACCTTTATATAAATTATCCCCGGAAAAAAGAATATATTGTCGTATTTTTGTTGCATGTATGAATACATGAATTCAATGCTCAGAATCAAATAAAGGTTTCGTATTCTCAGATATAAATAGGAAAGACAATAATCGATCCCTTTGTAACCCACGTAGATAAATATTTCGTGGTGGTTGAAACAAGAAAATGATCCTTTTTAAAAATGGATGGCATTTTTATAAAACCTTAACAAATCGCTTTCATTGCCTTATCGTTACTGAAAGTATTCCACGAATGTATATAGTGTACTTTTTTTATAAATACGGCATACTTATTGTTATCAGCTAATATCAACGCCTTTAAATAAATTATCTCCGGGCAAAAAAATGCTTATATCTAGTGTCATGTTTTCGTTACAGACTGAAATGTTGAAATATATAGAAAGAACACTGTACCATTTAAAAAGCAGGTTTCAAGATTCACTATGTGTAGCTTTAGAAATCTCCAAATTCTGTTGACAAAATTATCAGTACACGGGACGCTCGTTAATCTCAATTGTCGGGATTGCAAATTCGTAAATTAGAAACTGGCAGTACGAGTGAACGCGATATAACGTCTGGGAAGTGGCATTAAAAAAAGTTTCAGTACCGAGTTCTCGTTGCAAAACTTCTAAACCGGCGACTACTCTTGCTACATGATCGAAGCACATCCCTGGCTTATCGATAACTCATACGTGTCATACGTAATCAGGAAACCTTCCAATTTCATCAATTTCCAGACAGCAAAAACTTTTCCTCTCACTAAGAACATCTGAAAAATATATTACAAGAAATTTATGCAAAATGTAGATATTAATCAGATAAGCAAAAGGGAAAAAGTGCGAGTAAGATGTAACGAGATGTAATGAGTAAAAGTCATAATTTGGTATTTTTTCCTGGAAAATAGTTTTAGGCGTTGTTATAAGAAAATATATATGCGGACTTCTTCCTTTTTGTGAAAGGGATCAGGTGGTAATGATGAAAAACGAAAAAAAGGTGTTAAAAATGTAAATTAACCCGAGCGCTTGCGGGAGTCTGGCAATATATTTTTTAGTACAAAAAAATTGGGCGCCTTAGTGTTACCGATACTGTTGCATTATACATATTTTTATGAATTTGCTTAAAAACTGACTCGCGAGTAAGCAGCGCGTTAATCAAAGCGAAAAGTAATTGCATTAGCAATTAAATTAAAATTTGCCTATACCTGTAAGGGAAGTTCCGTTTTACAGCGAGCTCCCGTATGTTCCTAATTTGAATGTCTAATTCATAAAGGATAATCACACATATTCATGCATGCTCGGGCGACAATGTAACCAACAGATTTTAAAGAGACTTCACGGTTTACTCAGGCATTTTGGTGCGAACAATTATTCCTACTACTAATTTGCATCAAGCCCTCATTAAGCCAATGCCAATTTTGTATGCAAATTTCATTAGTAGTACGACTGCGAAACAACCGATACTATTTCGTTGCTGCCTCCTACATTTTTATTGTAATCATGTAACATCTACGTAATACATTTATTTACACAACATTACGGTTAACGTAAAGGTGCATATAATCTTTACAGTAAATTTATATCCTACAGTTTTTTTCATACTTTCAAGAACATCAGAAACTAATTATTTTCTTATGTACAATTACAATAGCCCATACCTATTTCTGTGCAATTGGTCAATTACACAATAAGGCCCGAAAATGAAATACGATTCAATTTTATTGTGTAAAATTTTAACTGTGTACAGCATTTTTCTACGTTATCGATAGCTCGTATTCAGTCCTGGTTTATTGAAAGACATCCCGTTTGTAAAAATTAATATTTTCCTCCCGAAGAATGACGCTCCAATTTATCGGCGATAAATTGCGTATATTTGCGACAAGAGAGTTCCGCTAAAGTATTGACCAATTCCGATCGGAATATATGATATTCGGCTTTAATAAATCGAGGCTCGATCCTCTCGTTTCCCTGTCAAGGGAGTATTTATTTCGACAAAGCGGGCTTTTTCGCTGCTGCTAAAAGCTTCAGCCTAAAAACTGCTATTTCATTTGCCAGAAAAGCGGGAACGAGTTGAGTCCCGGCTCAAATGACATTTAATGTATTTATACATGATGCTCGCGTGAGCTAAAAGTCGTTTCGTGCTTAACCAACGATTTTAAAGAAAAAAAATATGAATTCTGTTCCACCCGTCTGAAAGCTCTGTGACGCAATGATGCGTGGAATAATTGTTCATAGTCGTTCATAATTCCTATTTTATTCGGGATTGTCACAAATCATTGTACATATTAAATATTACTAATACGCTTAAAAAAAATATGAATTTTGTTCCACCCGTCTGAAAGCTCTGTGACGCAATGATGCGTGGAATAATTGTTCATAGTCGTTCATAATTCCTATTTTATTCAAGATTTTCACGAATCATTGTACATACTAAATATTACTAATACGCTTAAATTACTGATACGCCTAAAAAAAATATGAATTTTGTTCCACCCGTCTGAAAGTTCTGTGACGCAATGATGCGTGGAATAATTGTTCATAGTCGTTCATAATTTCTATTTTATTCGGGATTTTCACGAATCATTGTACATACTAAATATTACTAATATGCTTAAATTCATCTAGATAAACAATCTGAGGGGTGAATATTACGGTTAAATGATTGGAAATTTATTTTGGATTACTTTTATATTAGTATAGTTATTATCTCTTTAGTTTCCGGTGGCCTCAATTTTGTGGGTGGAAGTAGAGCTGACTCGAAACTGTTTGTTCCTCCTCTCTCGTGCAAACATCGGTTTTTTCTCAAAAAGACAGCGTGATCACTTGGACGTTTCGGCCGGAATTTAAAACACCTATCCCACACGTATAAACATTCACGTACGAGGTCCGGTTCGATTTGCACCTCTCTGAATCGTATTTATTCGGACGACAGTGCGCGTGGTTGCATTCACTCGAACCTTCGGTAGAAAAATCTCTAACAATCTATATTCAGGTAAAGGGTTGGCACAATCCAGGAAATGTCCCAAAAATGCCTTGCAAACATTCCAGTAAATGCTCCAAAAATGCACTACCTTCTGCCTCTGTAATTCCAGAAATCGGCATTGCGTCTTCTCCACGTGAAACATTAAAAAATAGGTAACAATTACGAGACATGTACAAGCATTGCGCACGTTTTTAATTTATTAGGTAATTCCAAAAGTTCTGTCGTTTACGTTTCACACCTACACTATATTTCCACTGCGTTTACAAGTATAAAACGTACATTCCACTATTTTGCGTTTATTGG